AAATTTCAGTCAACATTTGTTTTATTTCAAGTAACAACTCTATGGTTTTAGTTTTAGTTAACTGTAATAACCCTAAGTAATACAATGGTATTTTTTTTAAACATACCATGGTACATGCAGAACAAATTGCAGCATTTGAAATTGCAGAAACCTCATCTCATTTTAATCAGCCAGTTCATTTAAAGGCACAATATGTAAGATTTTTTTATCAAATTATATATATATATATATATATATATATAGTTTTTATGAACTTTTAATGTTATTTTAGTACACTGAGTCAAACTAAATGAAAATGAGAAATGTTTCCTTGGCAACCAGCTAAAATAAATTTTTTTTTTTTTTTAATTTTGAGAACATTTTTTTTTTCTCAAGTAACAACTCTATGGTTTTAGTTTTAGTTAACTGTAATAACCCTAAGTAATACAATGGTATTTTTTTTAAACATACCATGGTACATGCAGAACAAATTGCAGCATTTGAAATTCACGACCAGAAGGAGCGGAAGCAGTCGACTGTGGCATAATAAAAGCTCCGCTGCTTTCGAGCCGTGTGTCACGCTCGTTCAGCGGCCTCGTTTCGCTTCGACGGCTTTCAGCCTCACCCTGCTTCATTCTACTACGTTAATAAATCATTAGCTCATCCATGAACATGATTTCTGCCCGAGTCCCGTCGGATTGCATCGGCTGTGGGGATGTTTATTTTGAATATGCGCCCTCTAGCGGCGAAAAATTACATATTGTGCCTTTAATATATAAATCTTTTAAAACAATGCAAGCATAATTACACCTACAGTAATGAATGTAACTTCAAAATCAAAGGGAGAACAGGGTATCACAACTGATTTTTTATTGTCTTGAACCATAACACACAGAGATACATCTATAAACAATGATCAAAAGAAACTGTACATTTATACTTGATATCTAAGTCCCACAAAAACACTGCTACTGCTGGTCAGAACGCTTTACAACTAAAGAGATTTTAAACGTAATGACTCATTCGTCTCAAATTTTCCATTTTAATAATGCGTTTGGATATTAAAGAATCGTTGGCTTTGTGGAGATATTCATCCCACGTCTGCCATTGGTACCATAACACAAACTGGACTTAAAGCCCCACAAATCTTTTTCACAGCAGTTTTACAAATTTATTGTGGTACTATCACAGAAGAGACAAAATCAATAAACACGAAGCACAGGCCTGACATGAACTCCAGTACTAGAGAATATGTTTATTTAGCAGAAATGATTATGGAGAACTGCAGTTAACATATGGAACACAGCTTACAAACGTTCTACAAGTAATCTTTCGCCTTATAAACAATGAGTTATTTGCCCACCCCTCCCTCCCCAAACACACATTACAGGTTACACACACACACACACAAAAAAAACAAAATCCCTCATAGAGCCAATGGAATGTTAGTCATTCGGACAAGCTCGGTAAGATGTCCAGCTGTCTGTGTAAACGACATGCCTGCAACCTTCCCCTCTACCTCGCACTTTGAAAGCGAGAGCAGAAAGCCTGTCGACATTTACGATGACGGTAGTTTTTTCTGCCCAATGTAAAAACGCTGGATATGATGAGATCACTTTCAAAATGTTTCTTTTCTTCCATAAAAAATGTGTCTCTACAATCAAACTACTAAAAAACCTGCCTTTAGAAAATAGTAGATAAAAATATTCCCCTGAATTGTACAAGAAAAGAGGTACAGGGAGTGCTGGTAAAAGATGAGACCTCAGCAAAGTTATTCCCCGTCTTCTCCCTTCTTGTCGGCGTCTTCTGTTGCCGATGCCTGAAAAAACACCATTGGCGTTAGATTACATAGAAAGACCAAAAATCATTTTAGGTTTTATATGTACGATTTGCCAGTATATGACTATGTTACCTCTCCGTCAGCTTTTGTTTCTCCGTTTTCTGCGGGCACCTCCTCTTTCTTCTCCTCGTCCTTGGGTTCCTTTGTTTTCTTAGGCTTGGCAGCCGCCTTCTACAACGTGTTCAATTAATTTTTTATATTATTGCCAAGTTATAATTTATAACTTCATCTAGGTTTTTAGCATTCTTCTTAATTAAAGAGTTTTGTTACCTTTGGCTTAGGCGCTGCCTTTGGGGGTGCAGGTTTCTAAAAAGGAAAACGTCATAATACATCAATTAGTAAATAAAGAATATAAATAATTGCCATATCTGTTGAATGAATGAGAACTGTATATAAAAGTAAAACATGAATACTCACGTTTACCAACCTCTCCGACCTTCTTTTAGGCTGCAAAGTAATAACAAGTTTAAAACATGTACCTTATTTTGATGCAATAAAATATTTATTTTATTATTAAACTTTATTTCTATGCAATAAGGAGTGAGATCTGCTTACCTCAGTGACTTCAGTATCATTGTTCGCCTATGGGGGAAAAAAGAGAAAGTATTACTCTCAAGTCCATCAGTGTAATTTATAACAGATGCATCTGTATAACACAAGTTGCATGTAGAAAATGGCAAAAATGAATTAGCTAAAACAGTCTAGCTCATCAGGTCGGGATGAGAATTGTACAAATTTCTTTTATTTTGTTTCTGATTCCTCTTTAATAATTCTTTTAGTACTTTTGAGAAAACATATTTTGAGAATATTTCTTCAAATGAGATAATAACAGAACAGATATAATAAATGATAAATAAATTTAATACAACTGCAAAAGATGTTTATAGACTTTTTAATGACTTTTCATAGTTTTAGAGGCCAGCCAATAATTGGTTAAAATACCAAACCAATCAAAACACGTGATTGTTTTGCCTTCATTGATTTATTTTAATAAAACATTACTTATTAAAAATGAATAAAACTACGTTGACATGAATAACCAGTCAGTACTACAATAATTTAAGCGAGCCTTGAGTACAACATAGGACAGAAACATTTCTTGATTCCTTTCCAGGCAGACATGGCCAAAGTAAATAACTTGTGGTTTCATAAGTGAATCAGTTTTCATCAACTGGGAATTTAGTAACCGCTTTAATTGATTCATAAGATTCATTAGAAACGGGGCTAATAAAAACCATTCCATAGGGAACTGGAATAATCGAGTTGTATATTATTGATTCACTAAGAATGAGTCGGCTCATTCGAGTCATTCGTTCGAGAACCGGACTACACTGTTCGCCACGTATGGTTTTGATTCATTATTAAAAAGAATCGGATCATTTGAGTCATTCGCTCGGGGTTCGAAC